TGCGTGTATGCGTATTTCATGGCTAGATGTTATTTCGTTTTAATTAGCAAAACTATAAAAAAATTGCTATGCAAAAGTTGAATGTACAAACTTAGCTAGGTGATTATACACAAAATAACCTTGAAAGAGAACTAATTAGAATAAAATAATTTCATGATGGGAATTATTAAGGAGATACAAATGATGAAAAGAAAACAGTTTGGTGTTTTTTTAATAATTACATCCAATTTACTACTTTCTTGGTGAATTAATGAACTAATATTATGAAAATATATACGGTATTGGTAATACTAATACTGTGGTGTGTACTACTTATATGGATATAAGTAGTGTGTGTAAGTTTGTATTTAGATGCATTCGATTGTCCCCACTTGTGTTCTCGTTCATTACAATACTACTAATAATAATAACGCTGATACTAATGATAATAATTTCTAGGTGAGACTATAATTTATGGGCGACCTTTGAGCAACGCTAATGTGACCTTGGGAATGTCCACTTACTAACTTGGACTAAATGAGGGTTATAAAACGATGTTAAGATTTAGAATTATGATTTACAGTTGATAGTTAGGGTTAAGAACTAGATTTAAGTGTTTCATCACGCTTTGACATCAGCTAAATTGTTAAAACGCTATCTAGCCAAATGTATGAATGAATTTCGCGCCAAAATCCAAGACCTGTTATCGTAAATCGGATTGGTTCGTCCATAAATTATAGTCTCGCCCATTTCTCAATTTCTTGGCATATATTTGACTCTAGTAAAGAATTATCAACATCAAATAAATAATATTATGGTGAATTTCTGCCCGATATCCAATGAACTCATAAATACTTAAGAAGTACCTCACACAGTTTTATTCAAATGAAAAGCTGCTATCCATATTCATTTGCAAATATTTTTGAGTCATTTAGTAGTTTTGATATTTTTATTCATTGCACAACTTATACGAAGCAGTATTCCATTGTAAATAATTTTATATTTCTTCAGTGGCTGATGAACGGATTGCACAAATTATGTTGGCATCTTCTGGATTTTAGAATAATTTTGATTTTCATCAAATCGTTTGAGTATATGTGACTAGCATACATAATTAACCGATGAAAAACAGATTTAGGTCACAATTGATTGATCACTGGGTGACCAATGTCATGCGTGTCTAGTCCTTATTATTAGTGCACATCGAATGCTATCGATCATGTTGCAATGTGGCCACCAGTCTAGGTGACTCAACACCGCGGGCACTATTGTGAGATTAGATGGTGTTGGAGGTAGTCGACAGGAAACCCTGGACCCGGGTTTCGTGCTACTTGGCACTCGTCAGCAAGGTGTACATGTAATCTTAAGGGAACTGGTGCTCCCTCACCGATTTGATCCCGTGTCACCCAGTGATCAATCAGTTGTGATTACATCTCAGTCCTACAGGAGGTTGGTCCCGGCCCAGATAGCTCAGTGGTAACGTCTCTGACTGTGAAGCTGTATGACATGGGATCGAATCCGTCAGAAAGCACCAGTTCCCTCGAAGACTACAGGTACACCTTGCTGACGAGTGCCAAGTAGCCCGAAACCCGGGTCCAGGGTTTCCTGTCGACTATCCCCAACCACCATCTAGACTTAGGAAGTAATTAGCCGAGAAACTTGAGAAACTTAAGACTTCATCGGAAATATTCAGTGAATCGGTACTACAACTTCGAAGTAGATAAAATTCACACTCAAGAACTCGACTGAGAAAAGTCATATGTCAAATTGTTTGTGGCTTGAATAAAATCAATGTCAGCATATCTCTTTGATTGAAATACTAGATCGCATGGATTCGTATTTCTTGTAAAAACCAGCAATTTTTACACAATTAGAGATAAATGTTTTGGATTAATGCAAATTTACGCTAAATCTATATTTACAATATAAATAACATGAATCATTTAATAGTAGTTAGCTGTTATTCCACGAACGATAACAAAACTCTATTGTTTTACTATCTAACTGTTAAGCTACATATATTCTCATTTTTTTAAACGTTTCATTAGAATAGCGGAAGAGGAGATGACTGATCCTATTTACCTATTTATTATGTTAATGCATAAATCACATGATTAATTAGATGCAATAAACATGACTTTGATGTATAATAACCGATAAATTTCATTCGATACAATATTAAAACAAAACTGAGTAATTCATTACCAGTTTATTGATTTTAATTTTCAATCAATTAGAGTTTCTTGTTTGGCTCATTTTGTATACCTTTGAATATATTATTACGATCATGACGATTATTATATAAACTAGTTTTATTCTGATTGTGTTATAGTTATTCTTAACTTAGGCTTGAATGTTTAATTAGACCCTTGAATTGAGAACCTTATATATGTTTTCAATGCTGATTAAATATGTACACAATTCTCTTCCGTTTCGACTTGTCTGTTGTTGTACTCTTCGCTGTGAAATGCAGTGTCTAAGAGTTGATACTGATACACGGTTTAAACCGGTTATTCGAGTGAAAAGACTGAGATCGAGGAAGGAAGTTTATTAATTCACCATATCGACATGCATATATGTTTGTATATGCCGATGTCCGATCTATGAGAAATGAAAGTCATTTCTTGGCTAATTACTTTCACCTATCTTTCAACTGAATGCTGACTGAATCAGTGTATCACCTTTTTCTCCTGTATGTAAGTTTGGATTTTCGAACTCAGCTGAAGTTGTTGAGATTGGGATAAATCATACTCTCTCTCTAATTCTCCTAATTGGCTCAAAATATACTTTCCATAAACTTCTGAAAGTGACATTTAACATTACTGTATCTTGTGCAAAGTGATCAAAACGTTTAGGTCATTAAACATTCAGAAGTAATATAGAATGACAGCATTTGGAGTCAGATTGAAACTTAAAAATACGCCTTGATAGTAGTTCCAAGAAAGTTCATAAATAAGACTTTACAAGATTGTTATAACTTAACAATTTTTCAGATACATCATCAAATTTTCTTTATTGGATTTTGCATATTTCTCGTTTCTGACTTGAGGTTGAAATGTTGATTGTCGATTTAGAGTAGTGTTACACAATTTATCCTATAGTTAGTAATAACGTTTGAGCTTCATGGTTTTGAGTAGATCATTTCGTAGACTTTCTAAGATGATTTCAATCATCATTTGAAGCCAACTGGAGAATCATTGGACAACTGTTTCATCTAAGTTCGGCATTTAATGTAGACCATGTTATACTATAGATTAATTGAGGTCTAAATTAAATATAATCAGACTGAAACTCAGTTTTATAACGGTATCTATACATCGTGAAACCTAAATGCCAAAGTTTCAATATTAGATAGGGTCTTATGTATAAATTTCTGAAGAGCTCCAAAGTAAAATGAAAGAGTCGTAAATTACTTGTTGTTGTTCTGATTGACCAACAGTTGATGCTAGGATGTCAAAAAATTAGCTTCATACATTTTCCCACGTGTGTTTTGGTCTCCATAGCTTTCGCTATTTGATGTAACACCAGAAACCAAATTACCTTTTCTCTAGAGAAATGTAGTGGTGATACAGAATCATTTAACATGTATCTTTTCTGCTTTTAGTTACATTGAATAACTGAGAACTTGATCATGCAAGCCATACAAGCGTGTAATCCTGGATCGTCTGTAGTCATTTTCTACTCATATATTTATATTGAACCATTCACAGGACTTGTAGTTAACATCAAAATTTCCTATATGTTTTGATGATGATTGTTGACAATTACGACAGATTGCATATCAATTACATATCGGTTGTAACTTATTGCAACTAGATCCCTTAAAGGTTTGGAATCCTTGTTTTTCTTGCTGTTGAAATCGTAATTTAATTCATTCAACTTTAATTTCGAAATTTGACATACAGTCAACAGAATATTCAGCTTATCGGTTAGGCTTGAGATTATTAATTTCTTGTTACCTGCTTAAGGTGTTCCACGGAAGAAATATTTCTAATATTTAAATTTATTTGTATCTCTTTAATGCAAGATCAAGTGGATGCACCAACTCTATCAGGTACATAACTTACTTCAATGTTTATAATGAATTAGTCCAACAGGTACGTTTGGGCATACTTTATGTCTTCTAATGATCAGTAACGCTAATTAATTGTAAGTAGTCAGTAGAAAGATCTGTTTGACCTAGATCATATACGAAGTATTGAGTACAAAGTTAAACATGATAAAAACTTGTTTTAAACATAGTGACTATAGAATGTTTTTTTTCAGTCTACTAATCTGTCGTTGAAATAAGGACTCAACTATTTTGTATATATCATGCCTGGCATATTAAGTCGTGAAATCCGAGACATTTACTATAATCTGTCACAATTTTACTAATAGTACACAATTGTGTTTGGGTTTGAGCAACGATCACTAGATGTACTGAAATGACACACCGTATTTCGTGCTTTGCACGAGATCTGAGGGTACTTGGTATATTTTCTTGACGAAACCATGGTTTCATACATTTGAAAAAGCCCAAAGAGGGTTTGAATAGCTGTCTAGTGTTCCTCCGGTTTGCAATAATTATTCATATGATTCTAGACCTTAATGATCAGTAACATAAATGAACATAATTAAAGGTTTATATCTATGTTCAACGTGAAGCGAATAAATAAAAGGGGTTACGAACTAACAACAATTCTACAACGTTATTAATTTTAACCAGAATCTTTAGGAAATGTGGATTCAAACTGTTTACTTCTGAGACTCGGTTTAACATAGTATTACTTTGTGTTTTTTTCTTTCTTTCTAAAACTGTATGACTCATAATATTCCCATTGTTTTAATTATAAATTAACCCTTAAACACTTTTAAATATTTATAACCTTTCTTGGCATAGGTCAGATAATAAACTTTCTAACTTATCGTAGACATTGGCCTTTTCAATTGAACCAATTAGAAATAAGAATAATAATTAATTTAACCAATCAGAAGAATCTATTTAATTTTATTTATTTTATGTGTATTTTTCGAGGGCTGACTACAACAGGTGATTTTTTTCTTCTTCATCTTCAGGATAGTAACCATTACAAAATCAAAACATTATTATAGTATTCTATAGCTTTTTTATTTTTAAAAATCATATTAACCAAGGAAATATTTAACACATTTCTTAATGTTACATAACAATTTGTTTATATACTATTTCAACTAATTTAATCTCAACCTACAATCAAGTAAACAATATTTATATTCAAACGTTTATTTTCTATTCAATATTTGTATGAAAGGTATGTTCGATTATTTAACAAGTAACTAGTTAGATTTATTTTATGGTATATCAGTAAACATAACTTGAATTTGTTTTAATTCGTTTCAATTGATATCATATGAAAATTTTAAAATTTATATGATGGTGGAAAAGATTTGTAGCTCAGGTGGATGATTTTGACGAAGTTCTGTTCTCTGAGTTTGATGGTTTGGTGCAGATGATGTCGTTCAGAAGAACAATGAAAGGTCCATGATCAAACCATCCAGCTCAGAGAACAAAACTTCATTAAAATTTATATGTTTACAAGGAGCGAAATCATGTTTTTGATAATATTGAGATTGCTGAATGATTGAGAAACTTTCATTGTTGTACAATCAGACAGTGATGTTTTTTTCCAGTTAAACCATTTTATTCAAGTAATACAGTATTGCCAGTACAATGAACATATATTTCAATAACACAATTCTGCTATTAATTTCATTTATTGGTCTAAATTTCTACACTAATTAACTGTCTAGAATTAAGATAGTGTCACAAAGTCAAAGTATTTTCTCTCCCAAACTGTACTCACACAAGACAAAAATACTGATAAATTTATTCTTCAGTACAGTTTTCACTATGAACTAATATCAGCCTGAAAATCGCTGGAATCAGAAACATGTTTCTTCGTGGTTCGGAACTAACCACAAATATGAATTCATGACACTTCCAGGGTTGGAATAGACAACCCTTAAGTTCTTAGACAATATTATACGTCTAAAATGTTTTGTGTGGTTACAGTGAATTACATTTGTACTCATCCAAGCTATTATATACTATGATCCCTAATTAATGTGATAGCAAGACAATAAATCATCAGTGACATTGGTTGAGGTTTATGTCTTATGTTATGCCGAAAATTAGAGATAACACTTCCCACATCTGATTTTCCAGGGGTTAGACTTCGACCGGGAATTGCACTTTTCTACTTAGAATATGCCGACAACATAATTCCATTTGGTGAAGACGTTGACAAAATGCAGAGTCTGATGACCACTCTACGCAACAATGCAGGCATATTCGGCATGCGATTCTCTCCCTCTAAATGCAAAATGTTGCCTCAGAATTGGGTTCCATCGACACCCAAACTAGTGATAGGGAGTGAAGAAGTTGAGCATGTCGACCGCTTCACTTATCTTGGGAGTATCATCAGCCCTTGTGGTCTGGTGTGTGACGAAGTCCCAGCACGGATACAGAAGGCTCGACTAGCTCTTGTCAACTTGCGTCATTTGTGGCGTAGGCGAGATATCCGTCTATCAACCATAGGACGTGTTTACTGCGCAGCAGTTCGTTCCGTCCTACTCTATGGCAGTGAAACATGGCCGGCAAGAGTGGAGGATATTCGTAGGTTACTAATATTTGATCATAGGTGTCTTCGAAACATTGCTCGTATATCCTGGGACCACCGAGTAAATAATACAGTTGTTAGGAAACGGGTACTAGGTAAGGATGGCAAATCAATTGATGAAGTAGTGAAACTAAATAAGTTGAGATGTCTCGGACACGTGGTACGTATGCTCGACCACCGACTTCCCCGACGTGCGATGTTAAATGGTATAGGAGTAGGTTGGAAGAAAGCTAGGGGTGGTCAGACCAAAACATGGAACAAATCCATGAAGTCACTGACAAGTCAACTGAATCATGTTGGTAGGTGTAGAGAACCTGGTTGGGGACCGCGAGACGATAGCAACCGATGGTTAGAGATCTTGAATGGCATGGCTCAAAATCGTTTGCAATGGTGCAGGTGCATCCACTCTTTGTGTTCTCCCAAATTCCAATCTTCTGAATTCTTCATGTCTCTTATTTTTCCTCTTTGCAAATTTATTTAGCTGGATTATACTCATTAGATAACATCTTCAAACTCTAATGTTACCGATAACTGCTTATACTTTTACTACCTCTACCACTACGGGATAGAATCGACAACTTCATCTCTGTGCTAATGTGGTATGGCAACTCGAACTGATGTACGTGCGTACGAAGTCCCACGTTGTTACTGACTGACTGTACCGAAAATGATCTTCCTTGACACATCAATGAAGATTTTAATTTCGGCATAGTTTTTGTTTTAGTGGTTATCTATACTGACCATAGAACCTATCAGCAGACCATTTGACTTATTTATTCTGTTGTAATGTCGAAATGTTTTATTAATTGTCGTAGTTTGATTTTGTTTGTTCTCAGGCAAATAAAAATACAACTCCTTTTATATGTCTGTTGATAAATTTTTATGGGTTCGGTGATTTTTCCAAATTACATGGATTAATAAATGTATAAGTGCATGTAAGTTTGACTAAAACTACTTTAATAGTAAATATCGTTGTCAAGAATTTATATTTCTTCATTTGATCTGATCGGCTTTCACACCTACATTGTGTAGACAGCGATGAATAGTTGAGATTTAAAATGGTTTCATTAGATTTTAATGGAAATCTACATAATTCACTGTTTATTTTATCGTCGATGAAATACTTATAAGCTGAAATGCACAAAAGTTGATGGCTAAACATTTTCAATAATTTAATAGTTTTACATTACAGAATGACTTTAGTCAGACTAACTTTGAAAGGTATTTCTAGGAGTTCTAGTAAAAAAGACTGTAGTCGATGGAGTTGAATCATCTTGAACATGAGAGAAAAAAATATGAATAAATGATGACAGTGGGAATTGACTGAAGTTTGAAATATAAACAACTGAATACCACTTTTGTGGTTTGAGGGTTCAGCATTTGTCACGAAATCTGAATGTACTGGGTTCGATCCCTGACGAGGCAGCAGATAGCCACGGTTAAAAGGTTCCTTACTTGGTAAAAATAATTGTTTGATGTTCCCTGGTTCTCGATGGTTGTCGAATAATAAGTTCATTCGTAATGTGAAACTATAAATTTGAACTCTCTACAAACCCTTGTACTAAGAAACATTATCAATAGTGCTTGTAACAAACTCATCTTATTCATAGTGCATTCACTAGAATGTTTTAAATTTATTGGTAAACACAAACAACTATCTGAATGTTGATGTATGTTGTTATAAGCCTGTTACAACTTTAATTATCAACTACTATATATGTGATTCAATGAGTAAGGATGAGTTGGTTGTTTAAAACGAAAAGTATTGCATTTAAGCCTCATTGTTTACATCAACACTGGTACGCATTTACATCCTGCTGGACAGTCCCATATAAGACTTGATCCCACTTCAAGTCTCGTATATTTAAAGATCAGTTGAAATTCATATTTTTAAGCCACAAAACAACAGCTTCAAAATCTTTAATTTTAAATAGGGTACATCATTTACGTATTAATAATTTCGGTTCTAGTACACTCGATTACAAGCATCGTAGTAGTGATCGTGCCGAAATAGTGAACGAATTCTCTTACGATAAATGATTTCCTTTAGTCGTAAGAGCTTATATTTTCTCTGAATTAATCAATATGAATCAACGTGTAAGTCTTCTTGGAAAAAACGTTCAATATTTTTTGTATACACATAAAATATAGTTTTTGATATGGGTTTGCAGTACAACAGATCATATTACTTTTACCCCCTTTGCGATTTACTAACTTAATATACCTGGAATATCAAAATACTCCTTTATGAAGTTCAATATACCGATAGAGCTTGATCAATTCAATTATTCATAAAAACTTTGGAAAAATTCATATTCTTACACAGAAACAATGTTTTACGCTCATTAAACAAGTAGGTTTTATAGAAAGACTCAATGCTCTAACAGAGAACGCTTTAGTATTTGTATTGACGTGTTTATGGAGTAAAACTAAGATATAGTGATTTCTAAAATGAACCTAAGAAAGTTTAGATCATTATTAGTCAGTCAGAAAGTAAGATTTGAAAATCATTATTACTAGCTACTATCTAGAAATATATCATTAAACTAAGTAGGCTTTTCTTATTCTTCACCAGTTAATTTTTCATAAAATATTTTTAGTAATCTAAAAGAAGATCAGATTATCCAGGTTGCTTAAAATGATAAATTGAACTAAATTACACTTTGAATCATTTGACTCTTGAAGAATTCTATTCCTTTTGTTTCGAAGTTGATAGTACAAAATCTGTTTTTGTTAATCATTATAATATTCACAAAAACCCTTCTGATAGGAATTAACATATGCTCACTAGTGACTGATTTCAAAAGGTATTTCTTGGAGTTCCAGTGAGAAGCAGTGACCGGTGGAGTTCAACTGGGTCTTTTGCGAGATAGTAACTCACTGATGACATTGGTGGATGTGTCGTTCGATTTCGTGGATTAGTTGAAGTTAGACACTAACACCGTTGGATGCCGCCCAGCTCAGTGGTCTAATGATTAAGCGCTTGTGCGCGAGACTGATAGATTCTGGGTTCGAATCTCGGGAGACGCCTTTGTGAATGAGCACCACTGAGGAGTCCCACAATAGAACGGAACGGCCATCCAGTGCTTCGAGGTTTTCCATGGTGGCCTAGCTTGAATTGACTCATGATCTCAGCCATTGAAATGACTATAATATCCACAAAATCCCTTCTGATATGAATCATTTTTTGTCGAAAACTCATATTTTTGAGCAGTTAAATTATTACCCAATAAATTAATTCATCTTGACATCTATAAAATACAAGATCATTTTCTGTGTTTACTTAATTCAGCTCTGGTTTTTATACAATCTGTTATTCATATAATTGGGCATTTAAATTAACCAGTATTGAAAATATCAGCTAAGGTATAATGTAGGTAGTTGCCAATCACAGTTGAGAGAACTACTTTAAAGTTCTTGTACAAAATTTAAAGATGCATGGCTTCTATCTATAATCACATAAGATGGACAATATAAATAGTAGTGAGGGCAATTAAAATTGTCAGGAAGAATTTTTTTCGGTTATGGTATGGTAAAAATGACAATGCTAAATGTATCAAGTACTCACTTTTTTGTTGAAAAATTTTGTAAACTGGTAAGGAAATCATTTTCTTAATGATTCCTTGAATAGT